TTCTTTTGTTTTGAATAACCTTCCAGGCATCTACCATAATAACATTTTTATGGCTTTATTAAAAAAAAATCTAAAATATTTAGCTAAATTATCAATAATATAGAATAACAAAATTATGATTTGTTGAACATTGAACAAAGGTATGCATGTTTAAATTAATTAATTAGCTAATACATAAGGGCTAGACAACAATAAAAATTCCAATCAGTAAGTAATTATGTAAGTACGTGTTAGGCATTTTAGGAATTTATTTATATATGTATAATGTTACAAAATAAATAAATATTGAAATATTAAAAAAGCCTGTAAAATTATTATTTTAAAATTTTAGGTAGAAAGGTGAATGTTTACATTATCAAATTGTGGAACGTTTTGTAGCTCTCTGAGTTTTTCTAGTCATTTTCGGAATTATATTTGATATCGAACCACACATGTAGTCCGGGATTCGATTCCAGGCCACCGACGCACTCCTTCACCTCTTTAAGCCATTAATAAGACTGGTAAAGAGGGAAGGTTGAGCATGAGGCTAGAAACCCCATCCCGTAAAAATAAGTACCACCAAAAACCGAAACTTCAAGCCTCTAGTTTGAAGCCTTATGTTCCACTAGGAATAAAAACATTCGATATCAACTTTAGTGAGACTTTACACGGAAGTGAATATTCATCATCTTGTTTTTCTTCGAAAAGACCGAACAATTTGTGAATTTCGACGTTTAACAAAATTACCAGAATATAACTGAAGTTGTTCTAGTAATTAGGAATGTAATTCGTCATTCGATGTACAAGTTCCACTGTACTACTTAGTTTTTGATGATTCTCAAAGTGATTCTGGTTTGTGATGAAGTCTGCCCGGACAATTATCTAATTTCCAAGTATTCGTTTTGTAGGGATTTTGTTTGATTGGATGGAGGATTTCATCATGAGCATCGTGAATTGGCAAAAGTCAGAACTCATGGGCCATTGGATTAGGTCCCAGTGGCCTATTGGTCTACGAGCTAGCTCGCCTTGTAACAGAAGGTTCAGGGTGTGTACTGGTGAAGAGTCCCTAACTGGGACGAAACAGCTGTCCAGTACTCCCAGTTGGTTTTCCAGTGGTTCTCTAACTGATGTCAGCTCATGATGAAATCCTACATCCAATTATCTAATTCCAACATTATCAAACACCTAAATATTGGCCTATTGGTCACACTAGTGACTAAATTCTAAATGTAACTCATAAAGTTCCAGTGAGAAATCTTGAGATAATTAGTTCTAGTGGGTCAGTTGAATGAGAGGATAAATACTCGTGGATGATGTTAAATGATGGTTATTACTGTGTTATGAGTTAAAGGCAGTGAATAAAGCTCATAACCAGCTAATATCGACTCAAATTTCAAGCTACTGAGAACTACCAATCGGAGAAGATGTGGTTGGTCTATACTATATTGGGCACTAGATAAAGGCCATAATCATCTGACTGGCCCTGATGTCAGTAAACCGGAATCTGCCAATCAGAGGACATGTTAATGTTACCTACGGGGACGTAAACATGAGGTACAGGTCACTTAAACCTTCTTCAGTTGGTAGTTCTCAGTAGGTGGACATTAGGGGCTGGAAACAGCTGGTAATGGTTTTTATCCACTGCTGGTGTATTAAGTAGTTGACTGTGTTCTAAGATAAATAATCCCAATGGTTTAAAAAAATAACTTAAGCAGCGAGTCAGGTTGTATCATTATAAAATTAAATAAGATAATCCAGGTTGTGTTAAATGGTTGGAGACAGTCGACAGGAAGCCTTGTACCCAGGTTTTGTACTTGTAGGTACTCGTCGGCAGGATGTATCTGGAGATACGTGAGTCCGAATAGCTTAACAGGTAAGATCTCCACCTGCAGCACTGGGTTGCCCATGTTCGAATCTCACAAATGATATGAATTCCTCCAAGATGGTAGATATAGCTTTTTGATGAGTGCCAGAAAGCACGAAGCCTGGGTCCTAGGCTTCCTCCAGATTGCCTTCAACTATGCAATAACAACAACAACTCATGGTGTAGTGTGATGGTGAGGTACTTGGTTACGTGACCACACTGCAAACTTTACTGATAGAATTCAGTTTGTCCCAAACAAAAGACTACACGGATGACAAGAATTACTACCTAGTGTCCACCAATTAAGTGCAATCCCAGAGAGTTTAGAAAATAAAACAATAATTTTCTGAACGTCTCTCTATGTAATAATAATAGCTCTATTCTGTCTAGTGTTCATTTAATGTACAGAATTTTCAGCGGAATTTATTATTATTACCATTATTCTCTAAGGTTCCGAGTGGAACACAGGGTTTCAACAACATATCTTCACTTCTGATGATATCAGATGGTTGGAGGCAATCGGTAGGAAGCCTTAGACCTAGGTTTCGTGCTAGTTGGCACTCGTCAGCAAGGGGTGCCTGAGACCTTGAAGGAACTCATGCGCCCTTCTGAGATTCGAACCCACGTCACCCAATGCTGCAGTCAGAGACGTTACCACTGAGCTATTCGAAACCTAGGTCCAAGGCTTCCAGCCAACTGCCTCAAACCATCTAGTATCATCAAATCAATGTGCACCGTGATGGTGAGCTACCTAGAATGGTGACCATATCCCGAACTTGGCTGACAGAATTCAGTGTGTACCAAAGAAAGACTACATGAATAACACTAATTACTAGTGTCCAATCAAAATATCTCCACTTTTTTCTATTTGCTGTTTACCTTTTCAGCCGGGTCCATGATTGCCCATAAGCTCTGATCTTCTCCTTGCAAAATCTTCTTCACGTTATCCTCGGACCCAGCTAGACTCGTCGTTTCTCACTGGGTTTCCACTCGAGCGATAGCCTGGCACGCAGTGTCATTCGATGGTCTTCTCAACGTATGCCCGATCCATTTCCATTTTATCCAACATATCTGTTAAGGGATCGGCTCTTGGGCAGTTTGTTCCCATAGTTTCTGGCTGATAATTCCTTCTGGTCATTTAATCTTCAGCATAGAGCGAAGGCAGCTGTTGACAAAAGTCTATAGTGCCCTGTCGGAAATGCTTTTCGTAACGCGTGTGCCATGTTTCTGACCATTATAGGAAGGCTTACTGACCTTACATTTGTGTTGCGAATCCGAATCAAGTTGCTTATGCTGAGTGCAGAAGATTCCGACACTGGTTTCAGATTAACAAATGTGTACCTTGCCTTTCCGAATATAGCTGGCTTTAACATCTTCATCTGTTCCGCCTGTGGTTGAAACGATGCTACCTAGATAAGTGAAGGAAGTGACCTCTGTTAAATCTCTTCGCTTGATGGTGCTATTTGTTATTGATGTTGGTACGTGGGTATCCGGACCACCTCCGTCTTCTCTATATTCACCTGGAGTTTTGTCTTCTCTGGCTGCTTTTCCAGATAATTTGTTCGTTATCACCTGTAAGTCTTCTGGTTTGAGAAATCCAGATCTTCTAGAGTCTTCTTATCGGCAGTTCAGCGTACTTCTGACTCATCACCCCCAACAGTCTGACGCATAATCCAGTCCACCACAATTAAGAATATCATCGGTCATAATAAGCAACCATGTTTTATTCCTGTATTCACTCCAAAGGCTTCACTGAGTTTCTCGTTGTGGATCACCTGACATACAGCATTGTAATATGGCTGCTGAATGAGGTTGATAAAGACTTAGGCACTGCACGTCATAGTGTTGAAGCAGTTTCCAAATGACTTGTTGATTAAAGCTGTCGAAGGCCTATATGAAGTCGAAGTACATGTTTAACTCCCATTCTATGCTTTGTTATGTGATGACGATGCGTAGATTTGCAATTTGATCAGCACATGATTCGCGTTTCCTGAGTCCAGCTTGTTCCTGTGGGTGGCGGAGTTCTGTATCCAGTGAATCCTTTATTCTCTCCAGGATAGCAGTTTGATTGGTTTTGTGGGGTAGGGTCGCAAGTCCTATGCCCAGCCCTGCCTCTTTACTCAGGCTTGGGACTGGATAGAAAACCAGAGAGCTAGTAAGCTAGGCGAGGTTCACTCCACTATATTTTCTCTTCATCCAGTATCATCAAATAAAGTATTAGCTGACAGCAGAACATGTGATACAATGCAGTCTAACCTGAAGTGCAAATTAATCCATTTTGAAATGGAAATGTTCGATTGAAAGCCAACTATAAAATGTCGAAGAGTACATTTTGAAGTTCACAGACAATTCAAAAAGAGTTTCACTCACGCATCGGAATATGTTACCAACTGCGGTTATACTTTTTTCTCGATTCGAGTAGAGATTTTTCGAATGATCATGAGAGTGAACAATACTGCGAAGGAAGAGGAGACAAGGGATTTACTAACGGCATGTTTATTTGTAATTTGATACACACACATAGGGAAATCATGTATACTTTATATTAAAGCCGTCTTTTGCACAGATCTTCCGTGTAGTGCTACTTCTGCCCTTCCTTCGTATTGCGATACTTTGTCTTCTTTTTCGTGCCTACTATGATTTTCTACTCTTTGGCGCCAAATCCACCTCTACACTACTTGATATTTTTGTGCCGATGAACCTCTGTTCACATACTACTGATGGGCCTTGTCAGTAGAACATGCTACAAGTCATATCGTAATAGATTAAGACAAAATGAACATGAGAGAAAAGTGCAGCACAATGATGGGGTTTCCGGTAACCCAAGTTCTAAGCAGACTGTCCCATAGCCTCTTCATCAGAATTCAGAAATATCGTGATTTGAATCTCTGAACTCACAATGGAATTATTTCATGCTATCAAATATTTAACGTTTACACTTTGCCTACTCATAAGTAGCATAAATAGCTGTACAATATTGTTATTAACTACCAACCTTGAATATTGTGTATATAAACATGTATATAATTGTAGAGCCAGAAGAGGAATTTATCGAAAAGAACATTCTTTGCTCGATTATGTTGTGTTTTATAGATATCTGAATGAATATTTTTGCTATACAAAATTTATTGTTGTTCGTTTTATTATTTTTTTTCAGACGATATACAGTAAATGCTGTTTTAGAAGAAAGCTTATTATCAACATGGGAAGATGATACACCCTTCTAATTACTTTTTGAATAAAATACAATGAAGAGAAAATCATATACTTTTTATACACATGTACTTATGTATCAAAAATAAAAGTATAGCACAAATAATTGTAGATAATGTATTGCATTTATTACTATTATTGTTATTATTCCCACTTAGATATTAATTTCCCCTTTCCTTCACGCCCCACCTTACTTAAAGTTTTATTAAGTATTTTATTTCTCATTTTATAATTCTCATGCATATTTGTCAACAAATAGTATTATGTAAAACAAAAGATATTCATAAATTTCAATCTTTTCTCTTTTACTATTTTTTTACTATTGAAATTTCCATTTGGACAACGTTTTCTCGTTGGTGGAGTTTGAAATGATAGTTGACAGCTGGCAGTTTCATTGGGGAACACTATAACTCATCTAAAACAAAGAGAAGCAAGTACACTTAGTTGTTTGAGTTGCAAACAACGCGGAATAATTAGTGCTCTCTCCACGTACTTCAACTTTAACATCTGGGCAGTATTGTCAGACGCCTCCGACAGTATTTCAGCAGCACATCTCCATTTCATTTCGTTCTTTGTAGTCCGCTTTTAGCTGGCTGCATGACTACCTATAAGCCTTCATTTTCTCCGCACGATCTCCCACATGTTACCCTTGGACTCGCACCTAATTCATCGTCACATATTTGGATTCCAATCAAATGCCTGTTCGGCGCTTGATATCACTCAACGGTTCTCTCACATTACGTTCAATCAATCTCCATTTTTCTTCGGCGTATTTATTGCATAATAGGTTCTTGACTAGTTCATTGCTGATTCCTTCTGACTGGTCATTATATGTTCAGTATTCAGCTGTTGGTGGAAGTCTGCAGTCAGTTGGGAGTACGTTTGGTGGTGAGTCAAGCCTCTGAACCATATCAAAGCACTGGCTGCCTTGAAAATAGTGTTGAAAATGCAAATCATGTTCTTCATCATAAGTGCAGCAGATTCTCACTGATTTCAGATTAGTGAAGGTCATTCCTGATTTTCTGACATTGGTTGGTTTGACATCTTCATCCGCGCTGTTCCCCTGTATTTGAAATGATGCTGTCTAGATAAGTGAAACTGGTGACTACCTTCAAACTTTTCTTGTTGATGGTGATTGTCGCTGTTATTGGTTGTTAAGTATCTTCATAACCCCTGTCTTCTCTGTGTTCACTTGAAGTCCTGTCTTTACTGCTTGCCTCTCCTGCCAACTTGTTGATTTTCGCTTGTAGATCTTTGATTTTGTGTGAAATTAGAAAAATCATCTAGATCCTCGAGCTCATCCGGGGTACTCGTCTCTCACCATGGTCTGCCGAATGATCCCACTCCACCTTAATCAGAAATATCATTGTTGATAGTGGGTAGCCTTGTCTCACTCCTGTCTTCACTCGAGGAGCTTCTCTAAGTTTTCTGTTGTGAATCACTTGGCGTGTAACACCATCATATATCTGTTGATAAAGTTTTCGGACACTGCAATTCGTAGTGCTGAAGCAGTTCCCAAATTACTTCACCATCAATGGCACAATCAATCAAACGACATTATGTTAACTTGACAACATTGTCGAAACGTTCATACCAGGAGTTGATGTGACAATGGTGACTGAGCATTTCAATTCAATAAAACCAGCTTAGGGCTGTGACTTAACAATTCAACTGCCAGCTAATGGATCCTGGTTTCGAATCCAATTCCACCTACCTTAGCCTGGGGAATTGTAAATAGTATCATCAGATTTCACCCAATAAGTGTGGATTATAGAAAATGTTTGAATCCAATATTTTATAGGTTGATGGATTGAAGTACTGATATCAACCTAGGTTAGCTGTTTTACTAGAAAATATGTTCGACAATTGAGTGAGCACAAACATATTTTAAGACATATTTGTTGACCAAATACTATCTTTGCTTAAGCTAGACTAGAACATAAGACACTTGTCAAGGAAATGAAATTGGCACTGTTTCAGTTGGTTACCTATCAAACATCTTTCACACTTATCAGTAAGGTAAGTCCCCTTCTAAAAAACAGTATCTAAGTCTAGGCAGACGGCTACTTCAACAGAAAGAATAAATGTCCCATCTAATAATGACTTATAATGTTATTATGCAAGCGGTACCACTTCATGTATCTAGCCTCAACACTGTTTATTTACATCCTCCCACCCCCCAACCCACGCTCATTACAGTGCAGGTGAAGAGAAGGAGAGAATAAACTTTGTATTTGGTAAATTTTAATGCGTTCACAACCAATTTAATTCCCTATCTTTCAATGCAATGCTGATGTAGACTGATTATTGATCTAGCAGGCACATAATGCTCAACATGGGGTACATGGGCTCCAGTATCCATGGGAATGCAGCTCCTGACGCTGCTCCGCTGCCTTGCGGATTAGACTCCAAGTCAAAGGCTCGGGGGGTGGTCCCTTAATAAAACCACCTGCTTCGGTCTGGGCGCCCGGGCAGTATCTCAGCCCTCGCACAATGAATGAAATAAAGCAACAAACTCTCACTGAAACTCAATGCGTGGTATTACACAGTGATTCCAAGTAATAATGATGCCTCCAGTAACTTGTATCCTTCCAACCTTACTTTTATTTTTATACATAGTTTCCTGTTTTTTGCCTTTGTTAAACTTGACTTTTTAACCTTCGACAGCCTTTCGCCTTTGTCTAGATTCCCAGCTTATCTGTGTCGTTTCGAGATGTTTGTGAGTTCAAGCTGGCTACCTACAATGTTCGGACGCTGATGCAAATCGGACAACAGGCAGGGTTGGCAAGAACTTTGGAAAGCCTCGCTATCGATGTCTGCTGCATTTCGGAGACCCGCATTCAAGATCCCAGTGAAGTGCTTCGACTATCCTCTCCATCTGGAAGTTCTAGTAGTATGTACCACCTGCGCTTATCCGGGGACCCTGTGGCGTCGGCATCCGGCGTAGCTGGTGTCGGTGTCGCACTGAGCGCTAGAGCCGAAGCTGCACTGCTCGACTGGATTCCCATTAACAGTCGTTTATGTGCTGTGAGGCTGGAAGGTTATACGAAAGTAAGAGTAGTAGGCCAGATAGGCGGTGTCTTGTCTCTGCCTATGCACCGACGGATTGCAGCCCGGATGCAATGAAGGATGAGTTTTACTACCAACTGAGCGATCTCTTGAAACAGGCGGGTCGGAGGGATATCGTAGTGCTGGCTGGGGACTTGAATGCACAGGTGGGGCGTCTAAGCTCAGAGGAGAATCGTCTAGGTGGTCAGTGGGGACTACATGGTCGCAGGTCAGATAATGGGGACCGTCTTCTGCAGCTTTGCGCGGATCACAACCTATTTCTAGCTAGCACCAACTTCCGGCACAGCCATCGCCGTAGCGCTACCTGGCGTCCTCCCTCTGCGAAGCAAGCTTGGACTCAGATTGATCATATCGCGGTCAGTTTCCGGTGGCGAGGATGCATACAAGACTGTCGCTCCTTCTGGAGCACATGCCTGGACTCCGATCATGCGTTAGTGTGTGCCAAGTTCGTCTTGCGATTTGGTGGGGTTCGTAAAAGCCGTCGTCTAAGCGTTGATGTGAGCAAACTAGTAGCACCTGCTACTTCTTTGAAATATCAGAATGAGTTAAAAACAATGCTTGCCAGCAACCCCCCAAGTAGTATAGATGAACATTGGCTTCATGTGCAAGGTGCCATGCAAAAGGCGAGTGTAGCCGCTTGCGGCTTGAAAGAATGCTCCGCTAACAACCACTGGGTTTCTGCGAGTTCCTTGCAACTCATGGATGAACGCCGGTCCATTCCGGCTGGCAGCGAATACAACAATCAGCGAAAGGCGCTCACGCGCAAGATTAGACAGTGTTTACGTAAGGACCGCGAAGCCTGGTGGTCAGAACGTGCGTGTGAGATGGAGTCAGCTGCTGCATCTGGCAACAGTCGGAAGCTGTTCCAACTCATACGAGCCACCGGCAGCAAGAAACAAGGTGTCAGCGAGACGGTCTGTGAGGCAGATGGCACTCCAATTACCAGCCTGAAAAGACGCCTGGAACGCTGGGCAGAGCACTTCGGGAAGCAGTTCAGCTGGCCACCAGCTTCAGTGTCTACTATCATTAGCCCGAGTGCTCCTTGGTCGGTTAGTACCGACCCACCCACCGAAGCGGAGGTCCGTAAGGAACTCCAAGTTCTGAAACGCCATAAGGCGCCCGGCCCAGACAAATTACCCCCGGCTCTTTTTAAAGATGGTGGCGAGACTCTCACAATGGCTCTAACTGGGTTGTTCAGGAAGGTGTGGGAGACAGAGAGTGTACCATCAATGTGGAACGAAGCCATTATCGTCCCCATCTTTAAAAAGGGTCGACGTAATTCGTGTGACAATCATAGGGGTATCAGTCTGTTACCAGTCGCGTCTAAAATATTGGCTGCTGTCTTGCTTCGCAGACTGTGCAAAATACGTGAGGGATTGATCCCTGTCTGTCTGTTTTCGACATAGAACTTTGCACAAATGTGCGGAAGTTCAAGTCGCCACACTCCGTGTAGCACGCGAATGGGACTGATGCGCGAAGAGCAGGCTGGCTTTCGTTTAGGTCGTGGATGCATTGATCATGTGTTCACCCTTCGTCAGTTGTTGGAACACCGCCACACGTATTGCAGGTCAACGATCGTTGTGTTTCTTGATATTAGGGCTGTCTTCGATCCGTTGGACTGAACTGTGCTCTGGAACTGTCTGTTAGAGAGAAGTGTACCAGAGAAGTTTTTAACATCTTGAAAGCCCTATACAGAAACACCTCAGGTAGAGTGAGGGCATACAACCAATTGTCATCACTGTTCCCAACCAACAGTGGGGTTAGACAGGGTTGCCCAATCTCTCCAATTCTCTTTAACTTTGCCATCAATGACATTCTGGAGTTAGCTCTGAAGGATGTGTGTGAAGGTGGTGTAGATCTGCCACCTGGAGATAGACTTTTCAACCTCGAGTATGCAGACGATATCATCTTACTTTGCGATAGCATACAGGCTTCCCAAATCGCACTTAATCAGTTGGCAATCAGTGTCTGTAAGTATGGTATGTATTTTGCGCCGTCTAAGTGCAAAGTACTGTTGCAAGATTGTCAGGAGCCTGTACCTGCACTCACTCTTGCGAGTGAACCGCTTGAAGTTGTTGATAAATTTGTGTATCTTGGTAGTTGCGTGAGTGCTGGCGGAGGGGTGAGATTTCCAACCGTATAATGAAGGCTAGGGTGGATAGACTTCGGTCTTCTTTCCGAAATATTCTTATGCGGCCACGTGTTCATAGCCTCTGTCAGGTAAGTCTTATT